TCCGAGCGAGGCCCTGGCCGGTAGGAGGATAGGGATCCCTCTGGGCTGTGGGCAGCTCCGCCAGTGGCTTGGGCGAGGGAGCAGAGGCGGCCTGCGGAAGGAGTTCAGGCTCAGAGCAGCGCCTTGATCCTCGCCCTGTCCTCCCGGTAGGATTCTCCCGGCCGCCCGAGTAACCTGGAAAGGCGCGCCTGACGGGGTTGGCTGGCTGATGCTAAGCACAGGTGGGGGCGGGGTGGGGCGGGCTGGGAGCCTGAGCGGGTCTGTCAGGAGGTCTAGGTGTGTGTTGCGGTGAGTGTGCCTGCATGTTGTCTGTATACGTCTGTGTGGTGCAGGACCCATTTGGCTGGGAAGCGGTGTCACTTGCACTGACTTGAAGATTAAGTGGGTGCCGAGAGGGTAGGACTTGGAGCTGGGACTGGAGGAGAGGAGGCTGGGCCCCACCTCCGAGGGGAGAGAGACAAAAGGATAAATGGGGAATGTGGCTCATTGTCGGGGCGGGGGTACTGACCCCCTGGCTTCCCTCCACGGACCGGATGCTTGGAGCTGTTGGGTGGGGGCACCTCACTCCGCCAGAGCCCCCTCTAGTGAGCGGCTCCTGCATCCCCACAATCCCCGGCAGAGGCAGCCGGGAGGGGGCGGGAGGGGACCCCAGCCAGCTGCCCAGATATGACAGCCCCACCAGGCTTTCTGCGCCTCTCCTGATACCAACACCTCCGAAAGACCAGCAGCCCAGCCCAGGATGGTTGGAGCGTGGGGTGGCTGGGCTGCTCTGAGACCCCACCCTGGCTCAGCCCCTTCTCTTGCTCCATGAGAAAGGCCACGACCCCACCTGACCAGAGGGGAGGGGAGGTTTTCGCCGCCAGGGCAGGTTTCTAGGCTCTGGCAGCCGTCAGCCCAGGAGGCGGGGCGCCACCCCCCTCCCCGAGGGCGCGCGTGGGGCTCCTGGGAGGGACGCCCACCAGGCCTGGGCGCAGGCCTCCTGTTCAGGAGGGAAGGGGAGGCCCCGGGGAGCGGGGCAGAGGATAAACGGAGCGTGTGAAGAACCAGTTATTTCTCGACTTTGTAAAGACTGGGTCAGTCAAGAACCGTTTTCTAGAATCCAAACACAAATAAAGTCTTTTCTTGGCGCTTGATAGCATCGTGCCCGGGCTGTAAAACCGAAGGCGTGTTTGCTGTTGCAACATTGTTTTTAATGAGCTGCGATCGGCCCGGCCCGCAGTTAGTATTGCCAACAGTCAACGGCATCACTGTGTTTGCAGGTAACACACGGAACAACATATTTTGACCCCGAATGTCTGTTTACTTTTCATTTACGACACATGACCTCGTTTTTATTCCAAGCCAGAGGGAAATAAAGGGAGAGCTACCTTCGCCGAGGTCCAGGCTAAAATTTGGCCATAAATACGCCCATGTATCGGGGGCAGTTTCCCATCAGCGGGAAACGAGGCCGGAGCTTCCGCCGCGGTAGGATCGTTGTGTGCGCTGCGTGCGAGGACCCGCGCGCTCCCCAGCGGCTGCGCCCCGCGCGAGCTCTCCGCAGTCTTGATCTCTCCCGGTCCCTCATCCCCCTGCTGGTTCCCCGGCTTCAAGGACACCCTGCGGGGAGCGGGGCTGGCCGGCC